ATTAACATCAACAATTATCATTGCCATCGCTTGACTATGAACATCCAACTCCATTATTAGACTTCAATTATCTATTTATTAACACCCGACTTCTATTATCCCTATAAGAAGAACTAAATAATTATTTTCAATTATATAATATCATCTTCTTTACTATTTTGTTTTTTATACTGCAACCACAATTTCGCTCCATTACACGCACTTCCTAGTGAAATTATCCTGTATAGGGTTTGTTTTTCCTCTACTCTATTTATTCATTGTTGTTCAACTTTGCCTGCTTCACTTGAGGCATAGTTTTAAATGAGTCACTAGCTTCTAAATATTTAGCAAATTTCATGTAATTAATTAATAATATTTTGTTTATTTATTGAACTAAATTATAATGTTGTACTGATTTCATTATTCTATTTATGTTTGTAATATCATTATTTGAATTATATAAGTTGAATATGCAGTGGGTTATTCTATAAGATTATATCAATTTCTTTTGTTAGGGTAGTAGGATTTCTTTAGTCATTCTTATCTATAGTATTGTGAAGTATTTATTAAATTATTTGAATTAATTTGATTTGATAAAAAGCTAGGTTTTGTTTAGGACAACTTTATTATTAATTATTAAATCAACTTTTTATAATAAAAAATTAAGAGCAGAAAAAAATTGTCTGAAAAAGAGATATTATTATGTCGGGAGTCTGAAATTAAAGAAACGTTCGATTTTATAAATATGAATAGTAAATAAATAATAAAAGCATAAAAATTGTTCTCCAATGAGCTTTTAATGTTCATAATCACAAAAATTGAAAGATTCTCTAGATTCCAATTCCGCACTCAATAATCTCTCCGAAAAGAAGTTTTATATTTTAGGTCTTGGTAAATAAATAAATAAAAACATTTTAGCTCTTGGAGTTTGTGTGAGTAATTGGCTTAGGCCAATTGCTAGGAAATAAATAAGGAGATTTGCATTAAAAAAAAAATATTTTTCCCGTCATCAAGAATACTGTTGTCCCGAAGGAATAATTATTAGGTCAGGTGATTTGACGTAGCTCTACATCCATACACCAATAACATGCCGCCACGTGCTCTTACTCTTTATTGCGCGGCCTGATGATCCGACCCGGACTGGAACCCGGGATTGCTATATTCGCGTATTTCTCGGTATTGCTTGGAAATAACGAGAAATACCGCTCTATGTAGACCAATACCGAGCAATACCTAGAAAAACTCGGTATTGCTCGGTATTGGTCTTCACATAATGATATTTTTCATTTTTTCCAAGCAAAATCGACCAATGACTAACAATACCGAGTAATACCTAGCAATACCGGGTCGTCATGAATTTAAAATAAGCATGTGCGGCATACCCACTATTCGCCGGATCGGCGTGCTACGTGGCTATATCAGTGGTGACCGAACTTAGAACTACATCAGGTCACCGTATCGTCCCGAAGGCCGATATATAAACATACACTTGCCGCTCTCGACAACGTGGTAGTTTTCGCTAGCTGAAGCATTTCCGAAGGCGCAAAAGGTCGAGTGAGGGCAACCTGGGAGGGGGAGGTAATTCATTGCTCAATTGGTTTTAATTTCGATTGTTTCTTTAACACATTATAATTTTAGTTGGAATACAGGATTATAATTGGTTTCTTGTTGATGAATGCACTTTTTATTCTTTTAAATAAATCCTTGATTTAGAGTTTGTGTGCTAGGGTTTATGATATGCTGCTTGTTGTTTGGTATAGGATTGGATTCAATTTTAGTAGGATTTACTAAATCCTGTAAATCCGATTTAGTAAATCCTGGGCTCTTAAATCCTGAATTGTGTTTGGTATGACATTTTTTAAATCCTGTTAAATCCAAAAAGATGTTTGACTTTACGGGGATTTAGCCGTAAATCCGCAAATCCGTGATTTACGGATTTACCGCGAATTTTTTTGCGTTTGGCTGGATTTACCGTAAATCCTACTAAAAACTCGAAATAAATCCGATACCAAACACCCCCTCAGTCTGTATTTATTTTCGTGTTTTTCATTTTCATGAGGATTTTTCAGATGAAATTCGTGATCTATGTATCACTGGTTTGGGTAGGACATTGAAGAACTTAATTTTCTGCTTTGATAATTTTGGAGTGCTTTTGATTTCTGCATTATACACATCGTGAGTTCGGAGGTGTTTTTCTCGGTGGCTGATTTCTTTTTTGTTCTGCTTCTAATTTCTGCCACTATTGAGTACTTTCTTATGATTTTTATGGGGAAAAAAAAATGCTCGGAGGTCATGTTATCCTCTGTAGATTCTTAAGGTCTCACCGGATTTAGTTTTTTGCATTCAGCAATTGCTTCTATGCCGTTCTAAATGTATTGATTTGCTGGTACAATATTTAGGGTATAGTACTTTAATTTGGTAAATCTAACAAAAATGTTAGCAATCGAATATGAAGAATAATATTACAAAAAGTAATACACATTTAGTATCAAATCAATTACTCTATCTAAACTAGGGCTAGAAATTTTTGTAATTAAATCATATGGCTGTAGTGTCTAGAAATTTCTTCATATGGCTATAAATTATATGAGAATTTAGTGTCTAGAAAGTGCTTCCTATGGCCAAAATTGCCTCCTATGAATGGTCAATAATTAAAAGAATTACTACGAGTTGTCTGATTGAGGGTTTTGGAGATTTTGCCTAGATTATCAAAATTTTACTTAAGAAAATTATAAATAGAGCTTCATTCTTTATATAAAAGAGAGCTTTGACCTTGACCTTAATTTGGATAGAGCTTAGAAATCTGAAGGAATTTAGAGCCCTATTCGATAATTAACGTCAGTGACCATCGCCAAGAACACCCGTTGCCCGCCACCATTGTCTGTTAGTTGTTCGTCATCCGATAGTTTAATGGGTGCGTCATGCACGCCAGACACCCGTTTCAACATCAATATGGGTGGTCTATCAGATTGTTTTTCAATTTTTGGACTAGACAACCTATTCCAACTTTTTTTGGGTCTATGTGATCATTTTTTGTTCATTTGAAACATTGTTGGGGTCTATGGGATCTTTTTTTGTTCATTTGAAAATTATTTTGATGTTGTGAACTCAACTTTGGTATTTTCAAAGCCCAACGAAATCTCTACAATCAATTTTAAACAAATTTGAAGATTTTAGAGCAAAGTTTTTAAATAAATTTTGCGTCAATCGACACACTAATTTTAGATAAGGCTGAAATCATGATTGAAAAAAATTTGCTTGATTCACAAATTTGTGGGTAGGTTCACATTGATGTAGGAGTGATTACATCTCATAATTTTTTCAAAATTATAATTTTTCACTGCAAACTTTCAAGTCTCCATTCATTTTCAGAATACATTATTAGAAAAATCACTTAATCAAGCATGAATCTCGATGCAATATTTAAATTTAAAAATTTTTAAGTTAATTAAATTCAAGTTCATTTGAACATTGATTTCAACAAAATTATAATAAAAATAAAAATTTTGATGTGATGAACTTAATGCTCCAAAAGTGATTCGATCTGAATTCAAATTAGCCCAAATCAAACACAAAACATAGTAAAAAGTTAGACATTTATGGAGGACAAAATAATATCTAAATATTGTGTGTTTACAATCAAAATGAGTGGCTTGACATGGAAAATAAAGTGAGCCCCAAATCACTTAATTTTAGGTCATTAGAATTGTCATATGTTAAAAGAATGATTTATAATCAATGGAATCAATACTAGTTGTTCGATGAAGTGTTTTGAAATTTTTTATTATAATCACCAAATTGTTATTAGGAAAAATTATAAATAGATCTATATTCTTCACATGAAAGAAGAGCTTGGACCTTGACTTGAATTGGTAGAGAGGCTAGAGATTTGAAGCACTTTAGAGCTTTGTTCGATGATCGACACCAATGATCACCATCAATAACCGCTATCACCTAACCATCATTATCCAACTAGAGGTGTAAGTGAGTCAAGTTGACTTGTGAGCTAACTCGAGCTTGACTCAATAAATGGCTCATGAGTTGTGCTTGATGAGCTAACAAGCCAAGTTTGAGCCAACACTGATTCGATTCATTTGATAACGAGTCGGACTGTTTAAAAAATATTAATATAAAAGGCTCTTAAAATATATTAGCATTCAGGATTTTAAGTATAAAGTTATTAAAAATATTTAAAAAATATATTTTAATTTCTTATATTAAGTGATTATGTTTTTATTTTTCTTCAAATTTATTATTTTTTATCGTTTATTATAATATTTCTTGAATCATAATTATTTTCTCTCTGTCATAATAAACGAGCCGGCTTACGAGCTGGCTTGAACTCGTAGAATAAAACTTGAGCTCGATAAATTTAATTTAGCTCTCAATTAATTAATCAAGCTTAAGCTCAAGGTAGAGGTGGCTTGAATTCGGCTCGACTCGTTAATACTCCTACGTCCGACTATCATCGCTCAATTGCCACAACCTAATCGTCGCTTCCGTATCGCTTTCGCCCAACAACTGTTGCCTAATCATTTTTGTTTTACTTCCATCATCCAATCATTATTGTCTGACTACCATCTCCTGTTCTCCATTGCCCGACCATCATCGCCAAACTATAGTCTCTCGACCATCATTATAACCTCCCAATGTTTCTCCAACAATCCTTACTAGAGACAAGAGATAAAGCTAGTGTTCCCGAAGTCATAATATTGTCTTCTCCAATGACGGGGAAGAGCACATTTATGTAATATTATATATAATTATTTCAATTGGTCATGCATTATGATTTTTTTTCTTTTTTTTTTTAATTTTCACAGAAAAATTTGATATCTTTTACAACATTATTATATTTTTGTGTGTGATAAATCTTCGTTTAAAGCCAAAATGTTAAACAACTTCTGGTGCCTGAATATATATATCACACAACAAATTCTTTGCTGTTTAAAAATAAATCATTTAGTGAAATTGTCATTTATTACTTAAATGCTGAACAATGTATTTCATTTTTTCATGTTGGATAGACTTGATATAGTGCTGGCGAGGGGAAGTTCCATGGAGGATTCTAAAGTACAATTGTCTTCTGGATATGCTATGGGACCCCCTTGGTTATTCAAAGGCAGGCAAGCTATTTTACACATTACATCTTAGTTTACTTTTGAATTTTCTTATTTAGTGTTATGAGTCCATCAGACTCTCTCAACAATGCATTAGCAAAGATGTTATTTCACCTAATTTGATGTATTTTATTTTCAGTGCACTGTATCAATTACATCTTGTAAAGGCAGAAATTGCTCGTGTTTTCATCCCAAAGGAGTTTAAAATCGTTGAAGCATTTGGGTATTTAAATCCTCAGGATACTGCTTTCATCATTTCGCTCATTGGAAATTGATGTGCTTTATTTGGTCTAATATGTTTAACTTTTATTTTAGCAGGTACACTCTTGGAGGTTTCTTCCTTGCTCGTTATGATGATAGCCCGGTGGCAAAATTTGATGAGGTTCTGCATGTTGATCTCCCCTAGGAAGTTTTTATACTTCAAAACAACCTATATAAAATCTCTTTGTGGCTTGCTTTCTTAAAGGACATTTTCTGTTAGGCTTCTTAAATGTTTTGAATTATATGCAATTATGCATGCATATATGACCGACTTTGAATCTCTTGAATATGCTTTGTGAGAGATGCTTTATCTTGAAACTATTTCCTGACGTAATTTTATTCATTTTGTTACTCTTAGTTAGTGGTTATTGCTGGCACCGTGTGGAACCCACCAACTTCTTGCGCGTAAGCACCTTTCTCTATGTTTTATTAATGAAAAGTCTAAGAAAAAATAAGTATTGATCCACGTAACAAATGAGTAGTTTCTACGCTGCCAGTATTCATATTTCCCTGGCAGGTGGGCTGCCAGAGTACTAGTGAACAATGAAGAAGCCTGTAGGCATGGGAGGAAGGTAAAACCCTTCAGGCATTTTGTGGATACCTTTCTTTAGGTAGTGTTGCTATCATTACTCCACCTCTTGAAGTCGCACATTTTTATTATTATTACTTTTTTGTAGGAATTTGGTCTTCCAAGCAATGTTGGAATATTCTCGGAGGTAGGTGTTATCATGTGGAGCTTAATTTATTCAACTGCTCAAGATTTAATTCCCTAAATATCTGGATAATCTTTTCAAGTTTTGTAGGACTGTTCTAATCTTAAAATAAGGCGGTTATATAAAATCTAAATATTCTTAGATTTTTTATACCTATTTTTAAGCCATCCGGATCTCCTAAAATAAGTTTTACCTCCATTGACTTAATTCCTGAAATATCTGACTGTTCTAATCTTAAAATGGAGTGATTATGTAAAATATAGATATTCTCAAATTCGCCACCTATTCTTTAGCCATCCATATATCCTAGAAAATGTTTTACTTCCATTGCCTAATTCTCTAAATATCTGGATAGTTTGGTCAATATTTGTTCGGATTATAAGGGCTGTTCTAATCTTTAAATGGACTACTTCAACAATGACAACAACATCAAGCCTTTACCCAACTACATTGGGTTGACTGTATGAATCCTTTTTCTACATGAATCTTTAAATGGACTGGTTAGCTAAAATTTAGATATTCTTAGATTTGTTACCCATTCTTAAGCCATTTATCTCCTAAAATTGTTTTTCCTCTGTTGCCTGTAAGTAAGATGAAATATAAAATATAGGCCTATGGCCATATAGATCTCTTGGGTTTACCTTCGGGTTGGCTGGTTTGGCGGCTAGTTCTTCAATGTCGATGTTCTGGTTCTGATACTCCAATGAAGCTCTGTTGAATGTTCAACTTCAGATCTTGGTGGTTAGCGAGTGGCTGGCAAGTTGAGGATTCTGTTTTGAGGCAACTATTGCAACTTTCTTAGATTGGTGAGGTGGCATCTGGTGGTGAAGAAGCTGGAAGCATTGACAAGATGGGCCATATAGATCTCTTGGTTTTACCTTTTTGTTGGCTAGCGCTTCAATGCCGATGTTATGGTTCTGAGACTCCAATGAAGCTCAGGTGAATGTTCAATTTCGGATCTTGGTGGTCAGCGAGTGGCTGAAAAGTTGAGGATTCCATTTTGAGGCAACTATTGCAACTTTCTTAGATTGGTGTGGCGGCAGCCGATGGTGAAGAAGCTGGAAGCATTGACAAGATGGGTTGCTAGTGGCTGGTTGTGGTGTTTATGGATGGGAGAAGAAACAAAGTTTGTGGCATTGTTTATGGCTGTAGTTATTGTTGAACTGCTACTTGTTTGGGCAAAGGTGGAAAGTTAGGTATAGAAATTGATATAGTATCATGATAAAAATATTTTATGCAGCATAAGTGCGCGCGCTCTCAAATATAGATGGGTATGTAGGGAGTAAAAAAATAATATGTGATGCAAAAAAATTAGCTTTAGTATTTATATAATAAATAAGATACTAAGGAAGACGAATGACATATGTATAAGTTAGCCAAACAAAAAGATGATAAGCAAGGATCTAGTTCAAGTGAAGTGTATTAAAGATGAAGATCAAAAATATTTTTCTTAGAAAAGGGTATTTAACTTAGGTGGATGAGATATTTCGATAAGCTTTCCAGTAAATACTATGAGAATATGATTAACTTTAGTGACTTTAACATCATAAATAAAAAATAAAAATATATATTTTTATTTTTATCATCGTATTTGATGTGAAACTACTAGGAGTTACCTTGGAAATTAAAAGGAACAATTGAATAAAGCTTTGCTCACAAAAATTTATTACTTGGATATAAAAGAAGATTAAGAATTTAAAGAAATAAACTCGCTTAGGCCAAAGAAGTGCTTTTGATGCTAACCGTACATTCCAATCAAAATTCTTGATAAATAGCAAATATTACATGCTCGTAACAAAATCCATCTTTTAACAAAGAGAGGTTCACCTTGAGTACCGCCTCATTCATGCACTCTTTTGGGTTAGCGGAGGAAGACGAGTCCAATGAATAAGGATATTACCACTAGGAAGATGGCGCCGAGGACTTTCGTTGACGGATCGGTAGCCGGCGGTGGGGAAACGGGGAGTCGTCCGGTGATCTTCCGCTCTTCAAGAAACTTTTGTTCGTCGAAGAATTCCGCCAAGTGGGGAAGGATGCGATCCACGTATTCCTTGACGGTGGCTTCGGCTCCAAACCCGAGGTCAAAGAACGGTGAGCGGATGATGTCAACCTCCCCTTGAGAATTGAGAACGAGTCCATGATCAACCTCAGGATCGGCCATGTACCAATGGCGAGGTTGGGAGGAGTGGTTGTCTTCTTCTCTTGGCTTCAAGTGTCATGAGAGAACTAGGGGTTCACAAGAAGGTAGAGGGTTGGAGAGAGGGGCGGCTTGGAGGAGGGAGGATTAGGTTAGGTTAGGAGGGAGGGAGGAGAAAGTTTTAATCCCAAATCTGAAAATAATTTCAGGTTTTGAGTAAAAGTGGAGGGAATTAATTTAAACATCGATTTCAAATTAATTGCAATTAAAGCATTGAATAAGAAGTAATGGGGAGAAGCCCTAGTTGGGGCCGGCGGCATGGAGAGAGAGGGAGGAGGAGGGGTTAAGGGGAATTAAGTGCTTTCCAAACGAGCTTGGACAATTTCGTACTAAATAACATATCATGAAAATGAATCAAAAGTAGAGGCGCTGAATCATGGCCGTAGATCTGCGATTCCTCCGTCGATAAACATGTCGGTAGAATCTGTTGATGTCCTCATCAGTATTAGTAAAATCGAAATTTGAGAGGCTTTAAAGAAAGTGAATTATGGAAAAGCATTGAGACCGATAATATTCCAATTGAGGTGTGGAAATGTTTAGAAGACTAAAATGATGCTAGATGAGTGGAAAAAGAGTGTATTGGTTTTTATTTTTAAGAATAAAGATGATGCACATGTGGGTGCCAATTATAGAGGAATTAAGTTAATCTGTCATATAATAAAACCATGGGAGAAAGTAATTGAGCATAAGTTCCGAAAAATTCTAATGTTTCTCAAAATAAGTTTGGATTCATGCTAGGTAGGTTTGCTATAGAGTTATACATTTGTTGAGAGGTTTGATGGAGAAAGTATAAAGTAAGGAGGTTCTACATATGATATTTATTTCTTTAGAGAAATCATATGATAAAAAGTTTCAAGAGATGTGATTTGGTGAGTTTTAGAAAAGAAAGGAGTTCATAATGCTTATGTTCAACTCATCAAGGATATGTATGCAGGAGTTGTTGTGTTCAAACACAAGGTGATTTGACCAAGTATTTTCTTATTTCAATTGGATTACATCAAGGATTAGCTTTAATCCCATATCTTTTTGTTTTAGTCATAGATGTTCTTACTAAACATTTGCAAGAGGATGTTCTTAGGTGTATGCTTTTTGCTGATGATATTTTTCTTGTTTATAAGACTAGAAAGGGGGTCGAAGGAAAGCTTAAATTATGAAGATTAACCTTAGAGTCTAAAGATTTTCGTCTGAGTAGATCTAAAATCGAATACATGGAGTATAATTTTAGTAGTAGTTGATCTAGTTGGGGGATTGTGACTTTGGACGATCAAGTTATTAAAAGGAGTTAACGATTTAGATATCTCTGATCTTTTTTTCAAAGCGATGGTGAAATAGATGGGGATATTATTAGTAGAATTCAAGTAATATGATTGAAGTGGAGGAATGCATCGAGCTTGTTGTGTGATAGAAAAGTACCCCTCAAACTTAAGGGAAAATTGTATAAGATGTGGTGAGACTTGCAATGCTTTATGGCGTAGAATGTTGGCCATTCAAAGAGAAGCATAAAATAAAGTTAAGTATTGCAAAGATGAGTGTGCTTAGATGGATTAGTAGCTTTACTCTTAGAGACAGAATGTGAAATAATTATTAATGTAGAAAGGTTGGAGTAGCTCTAATGACGGATAAGATTAGAGAATAGATGGTTTGGTCGCTTAAAACATCGCCTTTGCGATGACCTGATTAGGAGAGAAGATGTATTAGATCTAGTCTATGTTGAGAAAGATAGATGTAGATCTAAAAAGACTTGGTTAGATAATATTAGAAATTACATTTTTTTAGATTTAAATGAAAATTTAACTCTTAATAGGACAATGTAGAAAAATTATTCATGTAGGCGATCCCATATTATGAGATAAAGGCTTGTTGTTGTTATTGTTACTATATATATATATATATATATATATACCTACATAACAAAAATATTTTCTTGTTTTCGCGTTCACTTGCCAAAGGCCAACTCGTACTCTAAAAATACAAAAATGAATCAGGTCTATGGGTTGGCCTTACATCGGAATTCATGCATTCTCCCATATCGCACAAGCCCACATACATAATTATTAAATGTCTTGTCCGATTGTTTATTATTATTTTTAGTACATAATAGCTGAGCACCTAGAAGAAAATCTGAAGCCAATGATTCGTCCTCTGACAATTTCGTTATGATAAGTTCACTGCCAATTTTGCTGGGTAGAATTTTTAATCATATTTTTTTAAAAGTTTTTTTCAAATACCTTCTATTAAAAAAAAAAAAAACTATTCTTCGATTTCTTGCAATATGTTGTTCTAATGCCTCGATTCGTTTTTTTCATTATATTTCCTACAACTTATTTAGCTAAATAGTTTAAAAACAATAAACAAATTGATAATTAAAACATATTGATGGATTAATTAATAAACAAAATTTCATCTCACTTAAAAAAATCCAAATAAAAAAATAAATTACTTCAATTAAATTTATAATAAATAAAAAATAGGTAAAAATTAAAAAGTAACTTTAGAAAAAATAACTTTAATTAAAAAAATAAAATTTGAAAGATTATGAAAAAATTTAAAAATAAAAAAGAGTTGGTTGGTCGGCAAGCCCGCTTAAGTTTAAATGGCCCAATCATATTAGGCCTAAATTTTAGTTGTTAGGTCATATTAGATTTGATTTGATTTCAATTTTATCTTTTGTAATCTTATTGTTTTAAATGGGAACGCTTAGCTTTGATTTTGGTCAGTTGAATGATGAATTAAAATATTGAATCTTCTTCTTATCCTCTTTTATCTCTTACTCCCTCGGGTCTCTCAACTAGTACCAGATTCCTCTGGTTTATTTCTTGTCTGCATCATATATAGTCTATATGACTTATGATTGCTTCCATCTTTCTTTAATTCTTTTTTTTATTGGTTTAAAGCAAAAATCTGCAGAAGTCAGAGTGAAATCCAAAAACATGTACAATTGTTTTCTGAACATGATTGGCTTTAGCCGCAGTAGCTGGAAGGAGCATACTGAAGTCAAAATATCAGAGGTTAATGATTCCAACATAATGTCCCTATGTAGCATTAGCATTCCATATCTTGGTGAGTGCATAAATATCCTGTCCGTATATTTTTTACTTCGACTACTTTTTTAAATCCGAAACACCTGACAAATATAACACTCAAGCAGCCCGTTAACTACTTTCATAATATACCTTTTCTGAATCATTTATACAATAAATATCCTTTACACAATCTAATGTTGAAAGAAATTTGTAATAACAAAAAAGTTTAGTATGACTTTTGCATTTGTGGAAGAGGCAAATTTTCTATGGTTGGATTGACTGTTGTAGAATGAAGGGTTTTGTAAATAAAATTGAACCAGAAAACTGGGAAAATCATCTATTTCTTCCCTCTCGAGTCTTAACAATTGCGAGTCATTATGTTAGAGCATATCATAAAGTTTAAGTTATGCTTTGTAGTATGACATTTGCATTTGCGGAAGAGGCAATTTTTCTATGGTTGAATTGATTGTTATAGAATGAAGGGTTTCTTTAATAAGATTGAATCAGAAAACTAGGCAACCCATCTATTTTTTACTCTCGAGTCTTAACAGTTGTGAATCATTATGATAGAGCATATCATCAAGTTTAAGTTATGCTTTGAATTCTAACACTTTATGGTTTAGCACAAGTCCGTTGGTACTAAAATGGTGGCTAACTAAATACAGCAACCTTGTATTGGACAAACAAATCATTGGGTTAGTATTCCATAGGCTGGAGAAACTTAATGTAAGATATCAGCAGTTGAATTCAGCCTTTTATTCTGATGCGATGCTTTTAACCAACACACAGAAATGCTTATGGTTAAAGGATGCTACCAAAAGCTGAAAATGGAATTGTGATCCATGTATTTCCTTCTATATTGTACCAGCATAAGATAAACTTCTTACACGAAGGTTCTTACGCATTAGTATACATATTCGTCTGAAGATAATAATTAATTACACTGCCATATGTTGTCATTTTGTTAAAGGAGAAAGTTCATTCTGTATTGATTCCTTTGCTTAATTGTGGGGTTTACATAACAGAGCCAAAATTGCATAGTGATGACAGATGGATGGGTCCAAAAATCAAAATGTCACTTCCAAATTTTAGGCGAGTTTTACGTTATGGATCTTTAGTGAGATGTTTTTTGTTAGGACAATATTTGCATATGGAGGACTTATTTTATTATTATTATTTAAATTTCAGTGGGCGAACCATTCACAATCCCCTTCTTCTAAAGTATGCTTGCCAGCTAGAATGCAGGTGAGGAACATTATGAAGTAATTTTATTCCATTCGCAACTATATGTCAAAGATTATTTTTTTAATGTCCATTAACGATCATAGAGGTTGCCACTTTGCTTTCAGGCCATCCTAGCTTGCTTTTGTTTATTTGAAGAAACCTTCAATCCTTGCTAAAGCATAAGAAATTATAACTAAAAGTTTCTATAATGAGCCTTCTCTATCAATGGATGAATTTTAGTGATGCAGGAACATTTTTTATGACTAATTTGAAAGAGTAAGATTATATGTAACTAAGAATTATATCATTGTAAAAGAGTCAAGAATATCATTCGAGACATGAGGCATGATATCAAAATCTGGTCAATCCTGTCAAACTCATCAAATTTCATGATTGCCCAGACCTTAACCAAATCTCCTTGAATCCAAACCTAATCCTATGTCTTATATAATCATGTTTTAATATCTTGACTATAATGTCAACATATAAGTAGTCAAATTTCTTTAGCTCTACAAGATCTATAATTTTTTAGAAGAAAAATATCCAAAATTCTATCATGTGGGCCTCCATAATTCTAATTAGTCAAGACATATTACTCAAAATCCAAACCTTTCACCTCCGCTATATGAATGTACTATTTCTCCATGCATGAGCCAAGCTCTTTCCTCTCCCCTTTCTTTGACACAATTATTTTAACATAAAAAACTATCAATGACTCTTCAAATCCCTACCACATTCAATGCAAAATCATTTTCCTAAGACTAATCACCTACTGGAATTCCCTCGTGTTTTGATTGATCTTATATGTGAGTTTATATATACTCTTGTAATGACTATTACGGAAGGATGGATGAATGAAATTTATTTTTAGGAATATATTTTTGTTAAATTTGGCAAGGACACGAACAAAATTGTGCTTGGAGATCTAATTCATGGTGCTGGATTTATCCATGAATAGGAGATTCGGCACCAAGAGCAAATTTATGATGAAGTATTTTCCGTGTATCCTCTTATTCTATCATCTTTGAAGAATGCTGATTGAGATGTTGGGGAAGATTGATGCGAGAAAAGATCATTCTTGAATGCCATTTATATATTATTTATTCTCCTTCTCCTTATGCTTTTTTTTTTTCTCTTAATATATGTTCATTCAATTTTTTCCTATATGAATTACAATAACTACAACAACATTAAGCCTTTATCCCATCAAATGGGGTCGATTACGAGAATCATTTTTCTCCATTGTGTCCTAATGGCGGTCAAATTCTCATTCAAATCTAACAAACAAAGGTTATTTTTAATACTTTCTAACCAAGTCTTTTTAGTTCTATCTCTACCTTTCTTAACATAAGTTGATGTTTTATGTGACCAAATCATCTAAGGTGAGTCTCTCTAATTTTATATTCCATTAGAGCTACTCCAACCTTTTCACATATATACTCATTTTGTATTCTATCTCTAAGAGTAAAACCACTGACCCACCTGAGCATCCTCATCTCTACAACACTATACTTAATTTTATACTTCTCTTTTAATGACCAACATTCAGTGCCATAAAGCACTGTAGGTCCCACCATCATCTTATAGAATTTTTCCTAAGTTTAAGGGGAATTTTTCTGTCACACAATAAGCCCTATGCATTCCTCTACTTCAACCATCCAACATGAATTCTTCTAATAATATTCCCATCTATTTCACCATCACTTTGAACAATATACCCGAGAGATCAACTAGTTTTAGATTCAAATAACAACTTTTAGACTCAAAGATTGACCTCAATAATTTAAGTTTTCGTTGAACTCTCTCTATAGCCTTATTAAAAAGAAGAATGCCATCAGCAAAAAGCATACATCGTGGTACATTCTCTTGCAAATGTCTAGTAAGAACATCCATGACTAAAGCAAAAAAATATGGGCTTAAAGTTGATCTTTGAAGTAAACCAACTGAAATAAGAAAATACTTGTCAAATCACATTGTGTTTGAACAAAAGTAATTGCTATGTATACATATCCTTAATGGCTTGAATATAAAAATTAATAACCCTTTTTTTTTCTAGAACTCTCTAGAGCACTTCTCTTGAAACTTTATCACGTGTTCTCTCTAAATCAATAAATATCATGTGCAGAAAATTTTCTTTTTCAACTCCGAAAATTTTAAGAATTTGTTACAATAAATAATTCAATTCTTAATCCTTGACCTTTATTTTAATGAATCACGCAGTAAATGCAAAGGAAGCTATTTGTGAACAACAAATTTGCCTGTCTAATATTTTGTGACAACTGTGCTGGAACTTCGAATTGATGCTCACGCAGGATGCGTCCTGTGATGGCAGCGAAAGTCTCTGGACCTACCAGCAATTATGGTGAAGATGAACCTGATGTTGATTGTCTCAACAATAGTAAATTGACAGAGGACAAAACCTTGAACCAATGCATTTCGATTCTGTTGTCAAAACCTGTGTTGGCATTGGAGTTCAATTTTCTCAAAATGCAAGTGAATGCTCCAACCTTAGTAGTTTCTCACTCCAAGAATAATGTAGCAGAAGATTCAGGTACTTGAATGATGTGCTGGATTTTTAACACTATTACCACACAGTCAAATAAGGAATTTTGTGTCCATGATTACCTTCTAATTCCAAAATGTGGAATTTATCAGCCTGGCATTTCCCAAAATTTACAATCAATTATTAATTTCTGCAACTTTTTTTGTAGAATTGTTTGTTTTCTCAATTTAGCTTTACTGCTTTTTATTTTGTATTATGAAACTTGAACTTTGAATGTATATTAGTCAATGTGTTAACATTAATTGATGAGTTGATTTGATAATTTTTAAGCGCGCAACAAATCATTAACAGCTCATTTGAATACCACCTTTCTGACCCTAGTCTATCACCTAGTCCATAAATATAATATATTGTCACACCTAACAATGATCCCTCTAGGTCAATATGGGTTGGACAGACAACAACATTAATAGCAACAAAAACATAAAACCTTTATCGTGCTACTCATACCTTTTCACATATGTACTGATTTCACATTTTGTCTCTATGAGTGAAGTCATTGATCAACCTGAGCATCCTCATCACATTTTGTCTCTATGAGTGAAGTCATTGATCCACCTGAGCATCCTCATCTCTTCAACACTTTACTTAATTTTATGCTTTCTTTTAATGGCCAACATTTGCACCATAAAGCATTATAAGTCTCACTACCATCTTATAGAAAATTTCCTTAAGTTTGAGGGGTACTTTTATGTCACAAAATAGGCCCTATGCAGTCCACTTCAACCATCCACCTTGAATTTTACTAATAATATCACCATCATTTTAAATGACAGACTTGAGATATCTAAATTGTGTACTCTTTTTAATGATCTGATTGTCCAAAGTCACAATCCCTCTAGTAGAACTATAGCTACTAAAATTACACTCCATGTGTTTGATTTTAGATCCGCTCAAATAAAAATATTTAGACTCTAAGGTTGATCTTCATAATTCAAGTTTTTCTTCAACTCCCTCTCTAGTCTTATCAACAAGAAGAATATCATCATTAAAAGCCTACACCAAGATACATCCTCTTGCAAATATGTAGTTAGAACATCCATGACTAAAGCAAAAAGATATAGACTTAAAGTTGATCGTTGATATAAACTAATTAAAATAAAAAAATACGTGGTCAAATTGCCTTGTGTTTGAACAAAGCAAGTCTTCTTGCATACATATCTTTAATGACTGGAATATAAGCCTTATTAACTCCTTTTTTTTTTTTAGAACTCTCCGAATCACCTCTTTTGAAACCTTATTATATGTTTTCTCTAAACTAATAAATATTATATATAGATCTTTCTTATTCTCTCTATATTTCTCCATCAAACCTCTCAATAAATGTACAACTTTCATAGCAGACTTACCTGACATAAATCCAAATTGATTTTGAGAAACATTAGTATCACATCGTACTCTTTACCATTATTTTGATTTATGACACATTAACTTAATTCCTCTATAATTCGCACATTCTTGTATATCACTTCCATAATTCCTCTATGTATTATTTGCTATCCTGCAGGGTTTAAGTTGGTGGCTTGACTCCCCCTTTGTTTCTTACCTAAAGTATCAACCTTTACCATATATACAAAACCCTAAATTATTTTCTTGCAGATAGCACTAATTCATACAATGCATGCTAGGAATAAATAATGTAATGGTTGAATTAACTTATTATTAAGGAATTAGGTTGAATAGATTGTTATTAATTTGTTAGCTGGTCTTTATGCTTTCATACAACAACAACAACAACAACAACATCAAGCCTTTATCCCACTACGTGGGGTCGGCTACATGAATCCTTTTTCTCCATTGTGTCCTATTAAAAGCCAAATTCTCGTTTAAATCTAATAAAGAAAGGTCATTCCTAATATTTTCTAACCAAGTCTTTTTAGGTCTACCCCTACCTTTCTTAACACAAGTCAAATCTAATACCTCTACTCTCTTAACTGGGTCGTCGGAAGGCCGCCTTTTTATGTGACCAAACCATCTAAGGCGACTCTCTCTAATCTTATCTTCTACTGGAGCTACTCCAACCTTTTCACGTATATGCTCATTTCGTATCCTATCTCTAAGGGTAAAGCCACTCATCCATCTAAGCATCCTCATCTCTGCCACACTTAACTTAGTATTATGCTTTCATATAGGCTATAAATAAACCTCCTTAGGAGATTAGAAAATCAATTAAGCAATGTAAGAACCAAAGAGCCTTAGCTCAATCCCTTTCCACCCAAATACCTGGAGTTATGTGTATCCTGCAATTGCCCAAACCCTTCTCCTCTTTTATCTAGAGTTTTTAGGCAAAAACTACAATTGCCTGGTTGTCAATATACTTATTTTCAATATTTTTCTCTGCTTTCTATGTTTGATTTCATAGCAATGCTTACTATTAGAAAGAAGAAAAGGCTTCTTATGTAATTTATGTAGTCTCTTTGCTAACTTGGATCTAAATGTATACTTTGTTCAATATGTATTTTTAATGCAAAAATCTATAAATTTTAGGATATCATTTATGTTTTCATTTTTTGTGCATTTATTTTATATGATATCTTTTAAATCTAGTTTTCCTTCTTTCACATGGAACTCTGTTTTGGCGGACAAATAGGTGACGAGACATATCCGTAGTAGTGTTGATTATCAGGTCCTCCATGAAAGCTTTTCTAATTCTATTTGGTTTGTTCTGTTTTTGTTCACTGTAGTGTGTTATGTAATATATTTTGATCCCTTCTTTGTATATTTAGGGGTTTTCTATGAGCGGATTTAGAGGCCAGAACAAAAGAAGCTTTGAACGACGATTTTGATTTTTTGCATCAGCAGCATTTATCACTGAAGTTGAATTCTTGACAGCAGAGGCAAGCAAAGATGAGTTTCCGAACAAATAAGATGGTGCAACAGCTGCAGAAAAATAAGACGCATGGATATACTGCTAACTTGCAATTTACCTGATCCAATTAATTGAATTACTGGTATTGTAAGACGCCTTTTGCAATGTTATGGCGTGGAATTATACAAAGAATTAAAATTTAAGAGAGAGAGAGAGAATGGGATCGTAGTATTAGGATTTTAACTTTGTTTTAGGGTTTTTGTAATTGAAGTTAGTCTAGATTTCTTATATTTAGATAGGGAATAGCGAAAACTTTAGGTGAGGATATCCAAATCAAAATTAGACAGAATAAAAAATATCCTCTCTCTCTAGCGTTTTTATTCTTTGTAATTGAAATCAGTCTAATAATCTAAAAAAAAATCATCATTAGAGAGAGAGAAAGAGAGAGAGAGAGAGATGCCTGCAAGATTTATCGCTACTACTATTATGCTTATGAAGAAACCACGAAGCCAAATAATAGATAAATATCAGCGGCGTGCCTTGGCTGATCTAACTAGAAATCTAGTCTATTTTTTGTAAATTGTATGAAATAATGATAGGATGATATAATAATAATATTAATGAAAGTTGGGCTATAATAAACTTAATATGTATTGTAATTTAAGGAATGAGAATTTCATATGCGGACAGAGGATGGCTAAAAAGTTCCAATTGAAGATGGACTTTTAGTCCATCTTCAATTGGAACTTTTTAGCCACTCACTGTCCGCATATGAAATTAACTCTGATCGTCGAAGATTATGCAGCAGATATTATTTCAGATTCAAACCTAGAAAATGAATGCGTCATTGCGACAGTACAGTCAATAACCCCTTCAAACACTCTCAAGTAAATATATATGTTTTATCATAAATGTTTGTATTTCACTTTTAAGAGCGAGCTACTGTTTTCTTTTTATTTTTTGTAATTATTTAGGATACAAATACAATTAATTTTAATTCTCGGGCATTATTTTACTTATTTTTGTTATTATTTTGTTTTAAGATAATATTTTATTCATAAACCTACTTTTTTTAATATTGTTTTCTTTAAAATAAGAAAATGAATGTGACTTCAAAACCAACAAGATTATATCTATTTATAATCTTTTTGAAAGTTAAGTTTTATGAATGAACTCTTATTCAGTTTCAGCTATAAATAACTTATTCAGTTGCAATCACTGTTCCAACAATTATATTAAAAAAAAAAACTGGACCAAAATATATTTCTATGTATTTATTGAAATGGAGAAATAATATAAAGATGGCCTGTCATTCAAATATAAAAGATTTGAATTAGAGTACCTTGTACAATTATAGTTGTTGTTAATCAGCTCATGACATATGAATAACATGAAAGAAAATATAGCTGTTTTCGAAAAGGCATCAGCCAGTGCAAACACACATACTAAATAAGATAATTATTTCTTCTCTACTAAATTTGTAGATTAGCATGACAATGATAAAAATTGCTAAAAAAATGTGTTTCGGCATTTCATTCGGACCGATTCAACCAAATTTTTTATTCGTACAAAAATTCCTCAACATAAATATAATCCTTGCAATATTTGATCTCATAGATTAAAATATTCAAAAACCAAATTCAAGAAGATAGTTAGGAGTGGTACAGTAAATGACTAGCAGATTCTACAGAGGGCCAGGAAAGGTGCCATTCTCCCTCTGCTCATTCCATCGTTCAATCTGTAAATATAACGAGCAATAGGAGGGGTTAGAATTATCAGTTCATTTTGGTTTATAAATATATTTAAGGGTAAAGAAGAATCAGTGCACATTGTATTCAACAAGAATAAAATGAGGTGATTTATAAACTAAATAATAAATATTTATGATAAGTCTGATGATGATGATGGAAAATTTGCATTCTAAATTTGAAAGATTCAATCTGGTTTAGGTTTGAGTTTGATACTAATGAATAAAATTAAACCGGACAAAACAAAGCTCTAATATATGTAATGTTTTATTATGCTGAAGCTATAATAAATTATAGCTTTACCACAACAAATTAAACCAAATAAGACAGTTAAAACCTTTAGTTTCAAATATATCGATTCAGACCTTATCAAGGAATACATTTGTTTTTTATTGGTAAATTGATGATTGAACTTGTTGTCACATTATTGGGGTATCATTCTACTTTATTTGTTTCCTTTTTTATACTCTCTTTCACATTTATTTATATTTGAAACTTCGGCTTTGTTTGGGACTGCTTTCTTATTGCTTTCTGAAGTAGCTTTCTAGTACAAAATCTATTAGTTTAAAAAAATTTTGCATTAAAAAATTATTTTAAAAAGCAATTAAAAAGCTATCCCAAATGAAGCCTTCATATGTTAAAAAAAAAAAAACTCTAATAAAATATCAAAGCAGGTTGAACTTTACCCTTTCTATTAGGGCTTCCTCATCCCTCCCACTCCCCCAACCCTTCTCTCGCTAATCTTTCCCATGCTCCACAAAACCCTCTATCATAAAACCACCAAATTACTTAGACATAGGTTTTGTTTGGGATGACTTTTTTATTGCTTCTTAAAGCAACTTTTTTATATAAAAGTTTTAATTTTTGACTAGAAAGTTGTTTTAAGAAACATTAAGAAAACCGTCTGGGACGAAATCATAGTGAGTCACTTGTGCATAACCTACTTGCGTGCAACTACAAACCACGCTCTCCCATTTTTGACCCTTCCACTCCTTCCCTTGTACTTGCCCTGCATGCTTGCTTGTGTGTGGCTCCGACATAAACATCAACAAAAATCTTTTTGAAACTCAAAGTGCTATCCTTTTAAACTTTGACAGCTAGAGCCCAAAATATTTTGTAACTTTCATTAATGATCGTTTTCATATATGCTCAAATATTGCTACTCCAACTCAATGTACTCCAAAAGATGATTAAGTTTTGACCAATTTTCTCCATCACAAATATTGCTACTCCAACTCAATGTACAGATTTTAGTTCATGAGCATGTTTGATCAATCTTGAATGTCTCAGATTTGAGTTCATGAGCATGTTTTATCAGACAAGGTACTTTCTATTGAAGAACTCTTTAAGAGACCAATAACTTTCTTGGTAAACACCCCTCCATTAAGGCAGATATCAGATCACCAGGAAAAAAAATGGTTTCCACGCACATACACACACACAAAAGAACAGAAATAGTACAGAGGTCGGTCAGCTTTTTGTAAGAGTCAAAAACACTGTGGTTGTGTACTAATTCCATGTAACAATATGCTTCTCATTCACATCAAAAGAAGATTTTTTTACGCCAAATTAAGCAGGGAAATGATTCCAACCAATTGTTCTCAAGAAAAAAAAAAAAACAGTATCTTTCCACATCAACAATTCTTTAATTAGAGTTCTAACTAAGGCTTTGTTTTTGAAAGGCAGCTTTCACCGAATATCCAAATTAACCCAAACTCATAGAGCACGATCTATTACCATATGAAGTGCGCTTCTATATTTTCCTAATATCCAATCCTAGCCAAAAACGTTCCCATGCGCTCCCAAAACCAAAGCATATTCAAGAAAAGTGTAAGAAAGATGCTGCACAGGAAGCATAGGTCTGCAATAGAAATATATATTTAACCAAAGAAAGTGAAAGCACATACCCATTCACCCGGGCAAAGAGATCTGTAATATTTTGCAAATTTCTGACACTCTGGTGCACCTTCACCTTTAGCCTCTATACACCTGAATGAACGAATAGATTGAGAATCAGGCATCATACGGATTCTCATATTCAACTTAAAAGATTATTGTGCATTAAAATAACGTAAAACTATATGCTATGTAGTTAAAGATACAACAAAGTTGCAAGATCACCTATGATATTCAATGTAGCGGGTAAAGCAATGCCTTGTTTGGTTTGTTGTTGGGAACCGGAAATCAGCTGGGGCAGTCTCAAGCTGAAAGCCAATCATAACACATTGCCAAACGCTTTAATCACCAATAAATATTGAGCTTCCAAAATATACCATATTAAAGAAATGAATCAGATGAACGTGTCGCCTTGAGTCAATGCTTAGAAAAATACCTTGATTATTGGAGTTTCTTCTTTGGCCTCTTCATTTTCTTCTACTTCTTGCGCTTGATCTGTCTCTGGGATAGGGTTTGCACTGTTCTCCTCTGCAGCAGAGGCAGTCTCCACGGGTTCACTCTTTTCTTCTACTTCCTGTGATGGTTCGGCGTTCTGTTCAGGGGTAACGCTATCTTCCTTCACTTCTTGTTTTTCTTCCTCTTTTGTTAGTGTTGCCTCCAGCTCAGGGGTTTTTTCTTCCTCTCCTGTATTAGGGGCGTTTTCCTCTGTAACTGCGGTTTGATCAATTTTCTCTGCAACGCTTTCCCCAGTTGCTTGTTCGGAAGTGTTGCTACGATCATCCTGCTCATATTTCTCTACGAGTAACCATTCCTAAATGTATAACATTTAAGATGTAAGTTTACTAAGAAAAATTATGCCGCCAACTATAGTATTGTTTCAAACATCTTATGTGATCCCAATAAAATAACTTGAGCTTTTATTTAGTAGTCACAAACAGTGATTATACAAGTGATACCATTTTTAATAGAAAAGCAAATGAGAGGAAATGGCAGATATTGACCAAAACAGTTCATTAACATCCTTTTGTCAAATAATTTGCTATATTCTATAGTTATTATATGACGTTTATAACAATGACATCGACAGAGGATTACAACTCAAAAAATTGTGAAGTAACATCCTTCCATCTAAAGGAAAATTAGCATATTCTGCAATTTCAGCTTGAAGAAACATTGGAAGAGTAAAAATTTAGGTGTTCTTACCAATGAAGTGTAGACACTACACGAGACACGACATGACAAATATACATACCCAAGGACATGACATATCATTGGACGTGATATTTTCTTTTATATGTTTGATAAGTTGACGAAAGTTTTGAGAGATAAAAGAAAGATTTTCAGCGAAGGCTTACACTCAAACTTATGGAGTAGGTTAGATTGTTACAAGGGATGTTTTCTCCAATTGTAAAGATTAACACAATAAAAGTTTTAATGTCATTGTCCACTAAGGTTCACTTGGATTTGCAATAATTTAAAGCTCACTAGGATTTGCAATAATTTAAAGCTCAAAATGCATTTCTTCATGGTAATTTAAAGGAGGAAATCTGCATGAAGTTTTCGCCTGATTTTGGAGGTCTTGCAACCAATAAACTCTGTAAACTAAAAAAACATATTATACGAATCAAATAGGTGATGTAAGCTCGATTAGCAAGATTTGCAAAAATAATAGTAAACACAGGCTACAAGAGAAGTCAAGGAGATTACACTTTGTTCACTAAACACTTTGAATGGAGCGGAAGTCATCGTTTTATTGGTGTATGTGAAAGATATAATAATAATAAGAAATAATTGGTGAGAAAAAGAATATCTGAAGTAGTTTTTCATCAAGAATTTGAGATAAAGCAGCAACAAAAACAACAACAACATCAAGCCTTTGTCCCATTACGTGGGGTCGGCTACATGAATCATTTTTCTCCATTGTGTCCGGTTAAAAGTCAAATTCTAATTTAAATCTAATAAAGAAAGATCATTTCTAATATTTTCTAACCAAGTCTTTTTAGGTCTACCTCTACCTTTCTTAACATAAGTCAACTTCAACTTTCCTAACCGGGTCATCAGAAGGCATTCGTTTAATATGACCAAACCATCTAAGGTGACTCTCTCTAATCTTATCTTCCACTGCAGCTACTCCAACCTTTTCAAGTATATGCTCATTTCGTATCCTATCTTTAAGGGTGGTCAAGCCACTCATCCACCTAAGCATCCTCATCTCTGCAACACTTAACTTAGTATTATGCATCTTTTTTAAAGGCCAACATTCGGCACCATAAAACATTGCAGGTCTCACCACCATCTTATAGAATTTTCCCTTAAGTTTGAGGGGGACTTTTCTATCGCATAATAAGCCCAATATATTCCTCTACTTCAACCATTCAACTTGAATTATGCTGATAATATCTCCATCAATTCCACCATCACTCTAAACAATAGATCCAAAATATCTAAAACGTGTACTTTTATTAATGACTTCATCGCCCAAAGTCACAATCCCATCACTAGGTCTATTGCTACTAAAATTACACTCCATATATTCAATTTTAGATCTACTCAAGCGAAAACCTTTAGACTCTAAAGTTGACCTCCATAATTCGAGTTTACCTTCAACTCCCTCTCTAGTATTATCAATAAGAAGAATATCATCAGCAAAAAGCATACACCAAGGTACATCCTCTTGCAAATGTCTAGTGAGAACATCCATGACTAAAGCAAAAAGATATGGATTAAGGCTGATCCTTGATGTAATGCAATCGAAATAGGAAAATACTTGGTCAAACCACCTTGTGTTTGAACACAAGTAATAGCTCATGCATACATATCTTTAATGATTTGAATATAAGCATTATTAACTCCTTTCTTTTCAAGAACTCTCCATAGCACTTCTCTTGGAACTTTATCATATGCTTTCTCTAAATCAATAAATATCATATGTAGATCCTCCTTATTCTCTCTATATGTCTCCATCAAACCTCTCAATAAATGTATGCTTCCATAGTAGACCTACCCGGCATGAATCCAAATTGATTTTGAGAAACATTAGTATCACGTCGCAACCTATGCTCCAGAACTTGCTCTCATAGTTTTAAAGTATGACACATTAACTTATTTCCTAGGATTTGAGATTGCGCACTCACGTCAAAAAATCTTCAATTATCAGCATAAGGGAAAGAAAATTTGATTGTTAATCTACTTAAACACAACATTGATCTAAACCATAAATTAGGAGAATCAAAAGAAGACACTATATGCCAATGACAATGATCAAGCTTTATTCTTATTGTACTCTTTTACACGTTAGAGATTTTAAAAACTTTTATAATTTTTTTTTAAAAAAATATCAACTAGTTCATCTAGACTTGGAAAGACATTAGAGATTTAAAAATGTTTTTTAAATTATATTTTCCAAAAGAAAGAAGATAAAAAATAGCCTAATGAAAAACATATAACCATCTCCCTCTAATTTTCATATTATGCATTGAATGATTGCCTAACTATTGATGCTATAAACTATATCTTTTTAATATAAAATGCAACATTCATCTACTAATCTCCAATTCTATCAAATTGTAAATCTTTTTATAATGTTCATAATAGAAAATGCTAAACCCTATTTTAGTAACGGATAAAATTAATGTCAAATGCTAATTTCAATTACTTATAAAGCAAGGTACATAAAAAAGCTTTTTTGCTTAGTATCATTTTCTTCTGAAGGCTCTCAATGTTTTTAAGGATGAAAATTCAACATTAAAATGTTTATCAATAATGTAAGTTTTCAACTAATTATCAAGAATATTGGATCTACCAAAAAAAATCAATTGGATAAAATTATGCCATTTTGATTACCTTGTCTTTGTTAAAGCCATTGAATGAATTATTTAGTTTCAAGCATGCCACAGATAAAAGCAATTTAATGTTTGTTATGATCAAATGATTCTTCAACTAAGTTGCATATAAAAAATTACATAAAACACTTCAACTCCATAAAATAAAGAAACTTTATTAAAGAAATGGTCTCATTTGTTATCTCATATTTTTTCTTTTTTTCAAATATTTGAACTAAATATATAGCATTCACAACAGCTTGATCATTTCTTTACAATTCTTGTGACAGTTCATTAGTGATTCTGAATACATCTTTCATTAAATGCAAGCTAAATACAATTTCAAGAGATTATATTGACTCTACTAATTCATCTGCCTCTCCCTTTGCTCAATGCTTATAATATCAAGCACGTCGATTATTGAGGAAAATATTACAATCAAATTGATAGGAAACGCTTGTAGAAAAAGAAAAGAACCTTGGCTGAATTTAAAATTCAGTTGTTTGTAAAAGTAAAAATTAAGAGTAGATGGCAGAATAACAAAATAGAGACTCTTTTAATTGATAATAGTGGAAGAAAACAACAAGATACAATTGATCCTCAATTGGAGAGGAGGATCTAGCTCTCTCAATTCTCTAAACGCCGCTAGAGCCCAATTAAAACCTAAGAAATCTCCAAATTTCAGAAAACACCAGATAACCTAATCTTAGGAAAACATCCTATTTAAAGCATACAATAATTAAATAATTCTCTAAACAGCCCCTCCTTTGATGTTTCCCTCCTAAACCACTTAAAACCCTTCCTAATTGACGTCTGTTGGATCCCACACAGAGGCGGCATTTGTTCAAGCGGAACAGGAGTTATGCCCCAATAGAAACAAAGCCGATCCCTCCTGGATTGGCCAAACCGGTTCCTCCTTGACCGGTCTAACAATACTCCCCTCCCAAAGACCACCTTATTCTCAAGATGGAAAGACGACACCCTCCATTCTCTCGACATCACAAATAATGAAAACCTGAACAATTCGGTCCTTACACCTCTGCCCCGGTGTATACCTTTCCTCACATCTAAAACACAGCCCCTTCGCCCTCTTCTCCTGTAGCTCTGTCTCAGTGAGTTTCTAGAAATTTTCCCTAGTCTTCCTCCAATAGTGTTCTCTTTCGAGGTCTCCTTAAGATTACTCGATGTCGACTCTTTCGATGCCAAAAATAAAATAGTTATCTTGTACGAACCTCCTAAGCTGCTGCTTCCATCCCCTATCTTCATGTGCCTTTGATCCTCCACTAATTGGACTAGCTTCATAGCCTCTCCTAAATCACAAAGACTCATCACTCTAACTGCTATTCTAATCTCTGGTTTGAGCTCTTTCATAAAGTTCCCCTCTAGTACAATCTCCGAAAGCCGGTCAAGTCAGCTGGCCAAGTGCTCAAACTGTTCACATTACTCCATAGTTGTCCCCTCCAGAACTACTCATAGAAGTCCTCTCCCCTGCTGGTTCAGAAACATTCCAACAAGCAGTACTTGAACTCCCTCCACGTCCGCATGGGTCGCCTCGTATCCCTCCACTGGTACCATTCTAAAGCTTTTCCCTCCAAGTACATCTCAGTTGCCATCAGTCTCTCCTCCGTCAACTTATTGACGTAAAGTATATTTCCACCTTGTAGATCCACCCATGGGTCAATATCACGTCTCTCAAAAAATAGGTATATTCAGCTTTCTCACCCTCGGATCGCCTTCGTTCCCTCTGTTACCTCCTTAATTTCCCATTCCCCAAGGGTGTGGTTCCCCCCAAGTAACCCAATCATCCCTCCTACGTTCGTACCTAACTCTTTCATCAAATTCTCACTTTCTCCTTTTAAATTCAACACCCCATGGATCATAGTCGGCCCCTCTCCTTTCAAATTTAGTCCCTTAACTTTCAAATTCAGCACCCCTTCGACCATACTTAGCCCTTGCCCTTTCAAATTTTGTCTGTCTCCTCTCTAATTCA